GAGTAAGGAAGCCAGACTGTGGTGGTGCACACCTTTAATCCCAGCACTCAAGAGAAAGAGACAGGCGAGTCTCTGAGCTCGAGACCAAGGACAGCCAGGGTTACACAGAAAAACCCTGTCTTGAAAGCCCAAAAAATTAAAAACAGAAAGAAAAATATGGACCAAATTAACGAAGAAAAGGACCCTATTTATTTTCCTGCCCTATCCCACCTGAACCCCTGGAGAATCGCAATGGAACCACTCTGTGATTTGGTTGACCCAAGCTTGTATGAGTGTGTTGGGGGGGGTGGGGCAGTGCCTGCCATGCACTGGGGACTGAACTCAGGAGTCATACTCTGCCACTGAGCTATATTCCTAAGCCCTAACATTTCATTTTTCTTATCTCACTAGGCTAAATTTCCATTTGTTAATATGCCAGAGATTAACAAATAAACAGAAACAAGTTCACCATGTAGGATAGCAGATACCTGAACTGGGAGCTCTACATTTCTAGAATGTGTTCAAGTATGCTGGCATTCAAGGGAAAATAAACTACAACAGGATGCTTACTGGTTTCTACAACATGGTTTTTACCAAATGAAATCATACAGCCGCCATGCATTTACGTCTAAAACTGCAAACTTAAAAACAAACTGCAAACTTAGTAAGGAATGGAAATTACAACTCAGTGCTTCTCCATCCTTTACAGTCAGTTCTACTTTTCCAGAAACCTATCCTTCTTCATTGTGTGCATGTGTGAGTGTGTGTTTACTGGCCTGACTGCACATGTGGAGCCCAGAGATCAAGTGCCTTCCTTCTTCTATTGCTTTCCACCTTATTTTCCCTTTTTGTTTTGTTTTTTGAGACAGGGTTTCTCTGTGTAACGGCCTTTGGCTATGCTGGAACTTGAAACTTGCTTTGTAGAGCAGGCTGGCCTTGAACTCACAGAGATCCACCTGCCTCTGCCTCCCAAATGCTGAGATGAAAGGTATACACTTAACATTTCTCCACTTTATTATCTAAAACAGGGACACTAACTAACTTGCAGCTCACCCATTCAGTTTGACTGGTGGAGCTCCAAGCCCCCAAGATCAACCTGTCTCCATCCCAAGCACAGCTGTGGTCACATGGACACTGTGTGTACCTGGCTTTTATGTGAAGACTAGGGATTAGAACTCAGATCTTCATGTTTACATAGCAAGTACTATCCACTGAGTCCCTGGTCCCAAAGTTTTGATTGTCTTTTTTACTTTTTGTTTTATTGCTTTTGTTTTGTTTTGTTTTTGGCTTTTCAAGACAGGGTTTCTCTGTGTAGTCCTGGCTATCCTGGAAATCGCCGTGTAGACCAGATTGGCCTTGAACTCTGAGATCCACCTGCCTCTGCCTCCTGAAGGTTGGCAGTAAAGGCGTCCAACACCACCCAGCTCTTTTTACTTTTTAAAAGCAAATCCTGGGTCAGCGAGATGATGTTAACCTCAAAAGATGGGAGGAGAATGCCCCCTGACTCAAATCATCATGGCCAAATTAATTAAAGCAAGCTTTTTTATTCATGTTCATGGGTTGCTTCCCCCCCGAGGTGGGGTTCAGGAGGTCAGCACTGGATGTGAGGAAGACAAGGCTTTTATAGCTCAGAGGTAGGAGGTTTCCAAATGGGGGATTTGGTGGGCAAAATAGGCGGTGTTACAGAAGCAGAACAGAAGCATAACAAGTTAGTTATAATGACTTCCTGAAACAAAGATGTGGTTGTAGGGAAGGCATGACAACAGGTAGTCATAACAGGAGTTATAATAACCTTTTGAAACAAAAGTAGGGTTGTAAGATGGTTATAAACAACTTTTTGAAACAAAAATGTGATTGCCATTCCTAGAACAGGCAGTCAAAAACCATTTGTAGTTAAGGTTATAGGTGGGGCATAGCCCAAACCTTGAGAAACATAGGTTTAATCACAAACAGAAATGAATCTAGTTTGTCTTTACTGTAAGGTGGATTTTAAGCCTAAAATGGAGAGGTTCTTCAATAGCTAAGCAGGTAAAGCTGCATGACTTGAAGGCCTTGGTGCTCTGAGCTTGTTCCCAGGAACCCACATAAAGGTAGGAGAGAACCAACTCTTACCCCCAAACAGCTTAAACTAAAACAAACAAACAAATTAATGGATACATAAATAAAAGCTGGGTGGTGGTGGCGCATTCCTTTTATTCCAGCAGTTGGGAGGCAGAGTCAGGAGAATCTCTGTAGATTAGTCAGTCTAATCTACAGAGTGAGTTCCAAGACAACCAAGGCTACACGGAAAAACCTTGTCTCAGAAAACAAACCAAAAAAGTAAAATGAGGCAGTGGTGCAGGCAAACACCTTTAAGCCCAGGAGTGGAAGCAGGATCTCTTTGAGCCAGGCCAGCCTGGCTCAATCTGAATCAGTGGTTCTCAACCTTCCTAATGTTGCAACCTTGTAATAGTTTGTGTTGCGACCCCAATCATAAAATTATTTTCATTGCTACTTCATAACTGTAATCTTGTTGTTATGAATTGTAATGTAAATCTGTTTTCCAGTGGTCTGTGAAAGGGTCATTCAACCCCCAGGTTGAGAAGCAAGGCTCTATAGAGTTCAAACCAACTAAGACTGCAACCCTGGCTCAAAAGAACAAAACAAAGCTAGGAGCAGTTTAGCGGTGCTCAATTTTACTCTCCTTTAATTCCAGCAGAGACAAGCAACTCTCTCAGAGTTCCAGAGCAATCCAGTCTACATAGCAAATTCCAAATCAGCCAGCACTTCATGTCTCAAATCATTTTCAAGCAAAATGAATACAAAAATTACTCTTTCAGTTTAGTGGACTTCAAGTGGCAAATCACCATAAAGTATTTAGGCACCTATTCGTCACACAAGGTGCTCACACAAATATTTTGTGCACATTCATAATTGCACACAAACATCTAAAACACACCGATAAATTAGTAAGGATTTCATCTAGTCATTATACTTTAGGGGTTTTTACTTCTTAGTGCTGTTTCTACAATGATCATATATGATTGTTAAAATTAGAAAAGCGGGCGGTGGTGGTGCACGCCTTTAATCCCAGCACTTGGGAAGCAGAGGCGGGTGGATCTCTGTGAGTTCGAGGCCAGCCTGGTAGTCTACAGAGCAAGTTCTGGGACAACTAATAACAGCTAAGGCTACACAGAGAAACCCTGTCAAAACAAAAACAAAAAAAAAACTAGAAAAACAAACAAGAAGAAATTGACCAGTGCCAGTCAGTTATATTGAATTGACATTTCCCGATCACTCACCTATGCTCAGGCCTGCAATATAATGTACAAAAGACTTTTGGTAGACCATGTTACAAATCTTTAGTAAAAAGACTTAAAATGAGAAAAAAAAAACTTGAGAAAAAGGTAACTACTTCAAAAGGTTGATGCTTGTGAAATAATTGAGTCATGAGTGAAAAAAAAAATCTTGATCCAAAACAAAAATGTAAACCTACTGAATGACAGGGAATCGTTCCTGTGAAAATGATTTCGCCTCTATTTGTAAAATGTAAACCTACTAAAGTTACTAAATATACCAGATTGAGCAAATATTGTATGTTGCTTTGCCCCCAACGAATTCTGATTTTATGTTTTCTGAATACTAGGGCAACAAATAAGTACAGTTCAGGAGTGCAGAAGATCCTGGAGTGGCAACCATGGGGGTGGATGGGTACAAAAGAATACAATGTAACGCTGCACACCCTCTGCCCTACAAAGAGCTGACTGGGGCAGTGGCGCGAACAGGACAGAAATTGAGGTTAGCCACGAGCAACTTTGCTTTTAATGAAAAGTGGATACAGCTGGCCTTAAGCACAAGGCTGGTGGGAGATGGGCAGGCAAGCTTTTAACCAGTATAAGGATTCGGGGCATGGGATTTCGCTGGATGAATGTCATCAATGACACCACAAAGCCATCCCTACCCTCTAACTTAAGTGTACATATATACTGGTTGAAATCCAACTAATACACATAACACAGATAGAAGAAATGGCACCCAGTGTTAGCAGACTTCGTGCGCCCGCAACTGTTCCATTTTACCTAGTACTTAAGTAATCTAGCTACAGACTTTTGTTTTAGCATTAGTTCAAGGGGAGCCCGGCTCCCAAAAGACTGGACTCGCCAGCTCTGCAGGTCCTCGGCCTCGGTCCTACCCAGCCCGCCACCACGGCTGCAGACCGACCCGCAGGGGCGGGCGGGGCGGCTGGGGAACCCGGGCCGGGACCTGCAGAGCTGGCGAGTCCAGTCTTTTGGGAGCCGGGCTCCCC